ACTAGAAGCTATGATTTGAAGGGATTTAAAGAGGGTGGGGGTGGCAGTGGTTAATTGTGGTGCTGTAACCGATTGGCAGAAGATTGCCACATGACCACCTGACAATCGCCCTGCTTGATCTCCATATCTCCTTGTCATCTGGCCCTATGATCTATCTGTGCAAGGCATCTTGTATGGTTAGGAGACACTGATTTCACTGAGTTGCCATAGCAAGTTAATATCTTCTATACATGACCACCTTACTTCTAAATTTATCAGGTTCCATAGTAAAACAACTGAAGGGTGCTGCAATGGGCCTCAAATAACGAGACTTATGCTTTTGTCGCATAACGAGGCTATGCTGCGCAGAGAAGATGAGAATGAGAGAAAAGAGAGAGGTAGAGAGAGAGACAGAATCTCTCTCTCTCTCTCTCGCAGCATGCCTCGTTTTGCAGAAAAGCATTGTCTCGTTATTTGGCATGCAGCACAGTATGAACCTGAAATTTAGCCAGAAAGTGGTCTGTGATAATACATGCCAACCAAGTGTCTCTAACCTCAGTGCACAGAGGGATCCAAGGGCCAGAAGGGAGAGAAAGGCGAGTCGGTGAGTGCCAATCTTCTGCCACAGGTTACAGCACCACATCCCACTGCCTCCCAACCCCTCTAACCCTTCAACTATTTAGTTTGATCCTTATTCAAAACCTCATTTTCAGGCATCCAGTCCCAACATTAATTATGCAGTGGGCATGAGTGTGTGCATTGTATGTTTATTTATCGGTGGTTCATTGTGTGTGTATGAAGTATGTGTGCAGGCACCTATATAGAACTCAGATTATTGCAAGGAGAATATTGATTGTTTCTCAGGTTGTGTGTATGTGTGTGTGTGCGTGTGACTGGAGCATATGGGCTCAGCTGGTAGTCCACACGGGTTGCTGACTGGTCACTGTGTTGTTTGCTATGCTCCAGTGGTGTGTGTGTGATGTCTCTTTAGCGCCAGGTCATTGATCTGGGCCTTGTCTCCATTCCTTCTCTCCACAGGGGCTGCCTGCCAACTGGGGCGAAGCAGTTGGGTACAAGGTAAAAGGTTTAAGAAACTTTCCATGATGAATAATGAAGATATGACCTTTTAATGATCATCTAATTAATTTCTAACCCCCTATTATTTTCACTTGTCTTGCTCTCTGTATGTTTCTCACCTTTTGTGTTCTGGCTCTGTCTAGGGAGAAAAAGGTCAGAAGGGCGAGCTCGGTCCACAGGGCCTCACAGGCACTCCTGGGAAGGACGTAAGTGTTTTTGTATTTTGTAGTTTTTTGTCTCTATTGCTCTCTTGCAGAGTTTCTGTAATAAGAATCAGTCAAAGTGTCCTTCAGGCATGAAATTTGCTTTGAGGTTAAGTCAAACAGTTTGCTTGAATTATATATTTTCAATACCACGAATGCTAAAGTGAGCAACCGCTCACAAACACACACACATCCACTTACACAGCCAGTTTTATCAGGCTAAGAGTGGATATTCAGTAAACTTATACGGTATTACTCTTTAAGCTCAGACTCCCATTGATATCCGTTCTCCCCCTCCTCTCTCCCATGGCGTTAAGTCGGCCTGTTAATGCCTGTTAGATTAGGCTAAAGCAACAAAGCTTGCACAATCAATGCTGCCTCATTGACTGTTCTGTTCGTCTCTCACACAGGCAGGCGCCTATTCAGGAAGACTTAAACCTTATAATCTTCCCTGTTCAGTGCTGTGATCCTGTAGACGCATGAAAAGTTTTGAGGAACAAATTACAACGTGTGTGTGCTCTGAGATATTCCCCTGGTTTTCAGCATCAGACGCTCTCACATTTAGCTGTTCACCAGGCTAAGTGCTTGTCGTGGACAGATGGATTTAGCGGAGGATAGATTTTCTTAAGCCTCACATCCATCTGACATTGTGAATATGAATGTGCTTGTTGATGTGACTTGAATCAGGCAGGCAGAAAATATTGCATATGCACCGCTGACGATAATACATCTTACAGACTACAATTCTCCCTCTTCCTGTTTCCAATTTTAAAATGTCAAACAAATGAGGGGAATCAACAAGTGTCTCTAACAATTTATGAAGATGGTATAGGGAACGATTTCTGCAGAGCTTGTTTGATTATTCTGGGCTGACATTGATGATGTCACTGACCCGTACTGATGTTATCACTTCCCTCTCTGTCTGTCACTATTTCCCAGGGTCGAGCAGGGTCCATCTGTGTAGTCGGCCCCAAGGGACAGAAGGTCTGTCTGCATTAAGTCTGGGAGTTTCTACCATCCACCTGTCTGTCACATACATTCAGTTCAATCTGCATTTAATATGTTGAACTTGTTTTTTCAGGGTACCCCAGGTGTGGTGGGTCCTGAAGGACTGGCTGGGGAGCCAGGGAAACCTGGACTACCAGGCCCACCCGGAGTTGGAAAGCCAGGCCTACCAGTAAGTGTGTTTTTTTATTCAAGGGGAAAAAAAGAAGCCTATATGCACTCACTGGATGGATGTCATTTCACTGATTACCTTCATGTCCTTACACTCGTCTTACAGATAGTCTCAGTTTGACCAAAAAGTACTTTTATTATATGCTGCTCTTAGAAGTGCAGGGTAGGACTTGGCTGGACTCCTTATTTTGGTGCAGCATTCATTGCCCTTGACAGAAGGCTGAAAGTGTGCTAAGAAATGCATTTGAAAAGACTGATGTACTTCTTTCCTGTCAGGGCCTTCCTGGTGGTGCAAAAGGAGAAAAGGTACGTTCACCCTTCAACAAAGGACTTATGGATATTTTAGGACTCCCCTTGTTAGCATGTGAGCAGAAAAGATAACATACAAGTAACAGATAACAGGTGAAATAGTTGGCCAAAGTGAATAGATAAATGGTTGAAATTGTTAGCTGGAAGTACTAAATAAACAATTAAAATTGTTAATAGTACTAAATAAGCAATTGAAATAGCTTAAAATGGATAAACAGTTGAAGTAGTTAGCTAAAAGTAATGGATGAACCTTTGACAGTATATATAGCATGTGAAATAGCTACCAGTAGGCTAATGGCTAACATTTGAAATAGTTAGCTAAAGGTAATGGATAAACAACTGATATAGTTCAGTCAGCCAACTCACATTTGGAATGTTTATTAAGCAGTATAGCATATTTAGATGTTGGCGTCTAGGCTCCGAC